TACAAACACACACATATTTATATAAAGAATGGAACAAGGACTGGTAGCCAAAAATTATTATTAACCATTTTAAAAGAAAATTTAATTTTTAATTGTTTTATGTTCTTAGATATACATATGCATTATAAATTCATAAAATAAGATTTAAGGGCTATAATGTTCTCAATGAAGGTCAATGAGTTTGTTCAACATGGGCTCCTCCCATTGAGCCTCAAGACTGGAGTCAGTATCTGCATGGTATTGCTTAGGTATAATACATGTAGCATTTATCACACAGAAACCAAGGTACGCTAAAAAATAAAATAAAATAAAATAACAAGTCTTCCAAAATGTGTAGACACAGTATCAAACACCATCTCCGTCCAACAGGAATACACTGGGCATCTATGATACCACCCTATGATTCTCGTACACACAAATAAAGACCACAACCTCGTGGAGTTAACATTCAAGCAAGCAGAAAAAAGCAGTAAACACACACAGTAAAAGATGAACTCTGTTTTATGAGGAAACATGCTGCACAAAAGGAAAAAAAAAAAAAAAAAAACCACCTAAAGCAGGGTTGAGAAATCCGGAGAGTCTAGAAACATGCAGGAAGAGGCAAATGGGATGCCATCTTCAGTAAGAGAGGTAAAGAAGAGCTCACGAAGCAATGCCATCTCATCAAAGATCTGAAGATGGTCAGGCAGGCAGTCACAGTACTGAGGAGGGCAAGGGGAAGTGCTGTCTAGTCCATAAGTAACTCCTCAACACAAAGAAAGTACAGCGTTCAACTTCCAGTTCTGCAGCAATACTTTTAAACACTTTGCTTTGAGACTCAGGTAATTCTGTAAGTGAATGTATTCCTGCATACCTTTTTCATTTCATTTTCTAAATTTTCTTCCTCTTGACCTTCAGACAACCTTCTTCTCAAATCAGCTATTTCCCGCTCTGCAGTTTCTCGATACTGTGCCCACTGTGCTCGCTCCTGCTCCAGCCTCAGATGAAACTGATGCTCATAGTCACGAACTGTCTCTATAAAACATCACACATTCCATCCATGTCTAAGCATCATGGAGCAATATCCAGTACACTGAAATTGTTTAAGCTATGTAAAGAGCTTGAGATAAATTTTTGGAAATAAAAAATTCTAGTTCTTATTATGAATTGAAATAAGGGTTTTATTACTTCATCATCATTATCATCATCATTAATCTTCACAATAGACCTGCCATATGCCATTGGACAAGAAACCCTAGGAAGGTTCAAAGTAGAGCTTTCAACTTCCATCTAAGACCCACTCCCAAATCCATGTTCTCTGACACTCTACTGAGGATCCCAAAACAAATACAGCATTTCATTACAACCAAATGAATGTGCAAGGAATAAGTACTATTTCTGGGATATTTCACTAACGCCTAAGATTCTAAACTGAGACAAATTCTATAGTCTTTACAAGATAACTTCAGATGTTTAATACAGTCTTGAAACACCACCTGACAGGCACTACTAGTAGCCCATCAAATTTTACTCCTTTTTAAAAGATTTTATTTATTTTTATTTTATATATATATATATGTTTGAGTGTCGCCTGCCTGTACATACTGCACTATGTACATACCTGTTGCCTGCAGAGGTCAGAAAAGGATGTCAGAGCCCCTGGAACTGCAGTTATAGACAGTTTTGAGCCACTCTGTGGGTGCTAGGAAATGAACCCAGATCCTCTACAAGAGTAACAAGTGCTCTTAATCACTGAGCCATCTCTCCAGCCCTTTATACTAACAAGACTGAGCTTTGGGAATTTACAGTGCTCAATAAAAATCCTCCACTTTCTGGCTGAGTAAACAGCTTAGTGAGATCACTTGCCTCACATGCGAATAGCTCTAGATTTGATTAGATTCCACAGCATAAAACTAAATACACAGACTTACAAACATGTTTCAATTTCCTTTAGTTAAAGCTGACCACATACTTGGTCAACAAACTGTGAGGAAGAAATAGCATGAAGATTTCTAGAAGAAAATGACTTATCTAATGTAGACTGGAGGAGGTATAACCATTTCTCAGCCATGAAGCAAAGATGAAATTTTAAAGAACATGGTAACTTTATAGAAGCAGACAGACAGAAAAGTTAGGGATATAGGTGGAGTCCCAGAACTATTATGACCACCCCTAGCTTACCTAGAAATGACTTGATTCCTATGAGAAAAAGGAACCCCTGTACAGATAAACCAGTACAGCCAGCCTTATTACATAAAACTGGAATAACCCTTAGTGACAGCTACAGACTCAGAAGCGGAGGTACCCTTAATTGCATCCTCTCAAAGAACACTATGTAAAAACTGGGATACAAATGCAAAGCCTCCGCCCAAGGGACAGGTCAGCGGCCATTAGCTCACATTTGCAAATACTAATTATTCCAGGATCCCAAAGATTAGGGTAACACCTTGTTTCATTTTGTCATCATTCTCAACAATGAAGGAAGGAATCAGGCATTTGTGCAGAAAGGAAAAAGGCTACACACACTATTTCACTTCCTTAGACTCAGGCCGGCATTTCATAAGGTCCAGCTTAGCTTTAAGGACATTCTTGTCCATTAAACAAAGATTTCACATACAAAGATACATTATACTTAAAAATTGAGACAAATAAAAATCCAGATTTAAACCCTGCTTTAAATCTTACGAGTAACTACAACCTTCATTTAATACATTATCTCTCAACACCCACTGTACGCCCTCACTATGAGATCTGCTGAAGACACTGGTGATGGACCCATCACGACACCTCTGGCTTCCCTTTCATCTGACATCTTGAAGATGACAATAATAAGCCACAAATTAACACAAAATGTACTTTAAGGTCATTTGAAAATGGAGTCAAGCATCAGAATTTGTTGATCTTACAAAGTCTAAAACCTGATCTTTACCTTTCATTACAGCCTGAAGTGAAGCAACCTCTTCTCTCCACTGCCTTTTAACTTCATCTATAGCTTCTTGTTTAGTATTCTCAGAGACTGTGGCAATTGCCTTGATATTCTCCATCTCTGCCTGAGCCTCCCACAGCTGTGTCCGAAGGTGACCCAGATCATCCTGTGCAGCTTGCAATACTGCATTTTGCCTCTTCAGATCCTCTGGGGGAAAAGTAAAAGATTTTCCATTAATGTGTAGTTCACTTTATCAGACTCAGAAGAAATGAAGAAACTAGATTTTAAAATGCTAACACAGATTATGAAGGTATTTAAACAGAAAGTGTAGTGGGTTTCAAAAATATGTACGAAGAGAGGCAGGCGGATCTCTGTGAGTTCGAGACCAGCCTGGTCTACAGAGCTAGTGCCAGGACAGGCTCCAAAGCCACAGAAAAACCCTGTCTCGAAAAACCAAAAAAAAAAAAAAAAAAAAAAATGTACGAAGTGAGTTCCAGGACAGCCAGAGCAATTACACAGAAACCCTGTCTCGAAAAACCAAAATTCATTAATTAATTAAACTAATAACACACTGGAGAAGGTCACAGTTTTGCACTATATTTAGGCTTTTACCACCCACTAAATGGGCATAATCAAAAACTTTTTAAATTTCTTTTTATGTGTATGTGAGTTTTAACTATACATGTATCTGTGTATCACACCTGTGTCTGGTGCCCTGGGATGTCAAGAGAGTGCATCTGATTTCAAAGACTGTAGTTAGTTGTAAACTGGCATGTAGGTGCTAGGAACTGAACACAGGTCCTCTAGAAGAACACCAGGGCTCTTAAGCACTGAGCCATCTCTTTAGCCCCAATAATCAAATTCCTTAACTACTCTGGTGTAAGTGTCCACATCTGCAAACTGGACGTTAAAGATGGTCACTTCCAGAGCTGTTGAAATGATAAAATGATGTACTATAAATGCCTGTAAGTACAGTAACTTTCAAAGAGTAAGTCTTCAAGACATACTGAATGGAAGAAAGTCAGACTGCATAGTAATTAGAGTTGATAGAACTATGACTATTCTCACTGGTGGTGGTGGCACATGCCTTTGAACCCAGCACTCGGGAGGCAGAGGCAGGTGGATCTCTGTGAGTTCGAGGCCAGCCTGGTCTACAAGAGCTAGTTCCAGGATAGGCTCCAAAGCTACAGAGAAACCCTGTCTCGAAAAACCAAAAACAGAACAAAACAAAACTACCATGATTACTTTCTTAATCACTCTTTATAATCTCTTAAATAGTAAGTCGATACATGCACGCTACATGCCGTAAGCCTAGATAGAACATATATTTGGTCATGACTTCCAAAAAAGATGTGTGGAGTCAGGAATGCAGTTTATTGGATAGCACTTGCCTCGCCTATATAAGGTCCTGGGTTTGGGTCCCTAAACACTGCAAAGAAAAGAAGGATAAACTTAGTATCCCTCTAAAGAGACGTGTCTCTTTTCTCTTACTGCCAACTTTCACTATTCTCTCCATTAAAAAAATGGCTGCAAACTCTCAATCGTTCTGCCTCAGCCTCCTTAGAAACAGAATCTCAGGAGCACAGCACCATAGTTTGCTAACTGTTTCTAAGGCAGAGTTTACTAATTTAGGAAGAGCACTGTGATAGTTAACCTAGTAGGAAACCCTTTGTCCTGTTAAACTGAACTAAACTGAGAGGTTCAACAGAATAGGAAGGGTCAACCTGAGTGTGGATCCTGTTCTAAATAAAAAAAGTAAGTAAGCCAAGAGTCAACGTGAGCATGCCTTCTCTGACATAAGACTACTGTATCTCCTTCAACCATGTCAGGTATTTTGTCAAAACAAGAAAGCTAATACAGAACAGTTATATCAAAGTGGGTAGGCTGCTATGAGAACCCTGACCACATGGTTCACAGGTGTTTAAAACTGGCACATAGCAGGAAAAGGGAAGAACTTCTGAGTTACAGAGTAGGGAAGCCTCAGAATGCTGTAACCAGAGTCAACTGGTTCATTCTGATGGGGATGTGGGAAAACAGAATCCAACAGAAAGGCAGATTATGTACCCACTCATAAATGGATACTAGCTATAAACAAAGCACGTTGAGCCTATAGTTCATGATCCTAGAGAAGCTAAGTAATAAGGTGAACCCAAAAGAAACCATATAGAGACCCACCTGGGAATTGGAAACAGACAGATCACCTGACAAAATTGGGAGCACAGGGGTGGAGGGTTAAGGGAAGGACGAATGGGAAGAGGAGAAGAGAAGTGGAGGGTTGAAGAGAACTTGAGGGAATGGGATAGTCAAGATGGAAGAAGGACAGAGATGAGAGCAAGGAAAGAGATATCTTGATTGAGGGAGCCATTATAGGGTTAGCAGAAACCTGGCTCTAGAGAAATTCCCAGGAATCCACAAGGATGACCCTAAGACCCTAAGCAATAGAGGAGAGTGGGCCCAATCTTGACTTGCCCTGTAGTCAGACTGATGATTATCTTTTTTAAAAAAAAAGATTTATGTATTAATTATGTATACAGTTTTCCCCTGCATGTATGCTGCAGGCCAGAATAGGGCACCAGATCTCATTACAGATGGTTGTGAGCCACCATATGGTTGCTGGGAATTGAACTCAGGACCTCTAGAAGAACAGTCAGCGCTCTTAACCTCTGAGCCATCTCTCCAGCCCCTGATGATTATTATTATTTTTTTTTTTTTGGTTTTTCGAGACAGGGTTTCTCTGTGGCTTTGGAGCCTGTCCTAGCCAGGCTGGTCTCAAACTCACAGAGATCCGCCTGCCTCTGCCTCCCGAGTGCTGGGATTAAAGGCATGCGCCACCATCGCCTGGCCCTGATGATTACCTTATATATCACCATAGAACCTTTATTCAACAACAGATGGAAACAGAGGCAGAGACCCACATCGGAGCACTGGACTGAGCTCCCAAGGTCCAGTTGAAGAGTAGAAGGAATGAGAATATGAGCAAAGAGATCAAGACCATGATGGGTTCATCCACTGAAATGGTTTACCTGAGCTAATGGGAGCTCACCAACTCCAGCTGGACTGGGAAGGAACAAGCATAGGACCAAACTAGTCCCTCTGAATATGGTTGACAGTTGCATGGCCGGAACAGACTGAGGGGCCACCAGCAGTGGCACCAGGATTTATCTCTATTGCATGTACTGGCTTTTTGGGATTCTATTCTCTTTGGATGGATACCTTGCTCAGCCTAGTTATAGTAGGAAGGGCCTTGGACCTTACTCAAAGCAATGTGCCTTACTCTCTCTTAGGATTAGATGGGGGTGGGGTGGGAGGGTGTGTGGAGGGAATGGAAGGAGGGGAGGGAGTGGGAATTTGGAGTGGTATTTTTTTTAAAAAAAAAATAAAAAATAAAAAATGAACAACTCATAAGCCCAAAATATATTTATTAAGACTCTTTAAAGAAACTTTTGTCCAAGTGAATTGGAATGGGTTTTGGTGGGGTTTTTTTTTTTGTTTTTTTGTTTTTTTTGAGTCAAATTTATCAGTTTCTCAGCTGTGTATAACTTCTGATGTCCAAACATTTCCTGTTTAGTTCTCTTCTGACAAGCACAGGTCTACCAGTCACTTCTGTGACTGTGCAAGTTTGTCCTCACAACTCAAGAACTCAGCTAAAGGTTAAAATTCTAGGTTGACAATCATTTTTATGTATCCAGATGATGTTTGTTTTCATTGTCTTCTGTCAGTTGAGAGATTAATACGGTATTTCCTGGGTTCCATTACTATAATGAAGCTGCTGTTCAGACAAGCTCTTGCTATCCACCCCTCGGCGAGTCTCCAATTCAAGACTCTTCTGACTCCACCTCCCAAATGCTGGACTCACATGCACATGGCACCATGCATGGGTTATTCTTTACTTTTGTAATTTCTTTGCAAGTTCTCTAATAAGTTTTTGTTATCTATCTTTATTTCTTCATTGTTTTAACTGTAATTTTAAAAATAATCTTTGTTTCATACCCCTATCTAAGCAAACATATGTTACCTGGACCACATACAGATTTCTAACCCAAACCAAGTTTTTCACAACTGAAATTCTTTTTTTTTTTTCAAGACAGGGTTTCTCTGTGGCTTTGGAGCCTGTCCTGGAACTAGCTCTGTAGACCAGGCTGGCCTCGAACTCACAGAGATCCGCCTGTCTCTGCCTCCCAAGTGCTGGGATTAAAGGTGTGCGCCACCACTGCCCGGCACACAACTGAAATTCTAATAGCATCAGAGCACCTTGGCCACGCATAAAGTCCTTTTGGACACCAATGGAAAACTCAACCTCCATTTTTATCATTTCCTCCCATAGTCTTTCATCTGGAGCCTCAGAGAACGGGGGCTCACGAACACTCTGAACTGAGATTTCTAAAGCATAAACACTGCTGCAGTGCTAAGCACTGACTGAAGTTGGCTAAAGGAAGAAGGCACAGTAAGAATACCTTTTCAAAGTTTAGTAGAAGAAAGTCAACATAGCTTTCTGAAATTTTGTAATATTCCCAACTGAAGTCAGCTTGAAAAAAACTGCACCCTAAGACAAAAACTGGCAGCAAAAGAAGCTAAAAAACCGCCTTATCGTCTCTTTTATAAGTAGTTCTCATCACTGTTTGCGTCAACAACTCAGTGATACTTCAAATAAATGCAAGCTCAGTAAGTACAGTAGCAGCAAAACCGTCCCTTCCAGGGGAAAAGCAGTATTTGGAATTCTGAGTTACCTTGACCTATTTCGCTGAGAGACAAAGACTGCCGAGCACACCACCACCACACTGCACACTGTTTATGCCTGAGATGATCATAAGGACGGCCTCCACCTTCATAGTAGGTGTGATAATATAAGCTGGTACTTGAAAAAAAGTTTCTAATTTGATTTTTATTATGATATGGGTAAGTGTCCAAGATAAAAACTAAGTAATCAACACTGATGTCTTAGATATCACATATGTTGCCTTTAGGAAAGTTACCAAGAAAGGATTATAGAATTCCTTTTTGTGGTTTCAAAACAAGGTTTGTCTGTGTAGCCCTAGATATCCTGGAATTTGCTCTTGTAGACCAGGCTGGCCTCGAAGAGATCCGCTTGCCTCTGCCTCCCAAGTGCTGGAATCAAAGGTGTACCACCACCACTCTGTACCCCCAACCACCTCATACCCCCACTCTAGCTCCAGTTTAGAGCAAGTATTTTTAACCAAACCATATCAAAGCTGTTTAATTCAGATATAAAACTGATAACACATCAGACGTGAGAGGCTGTGGGGCAGTGAGATGGTTCAGTGGTTCAGTGGGTAAGAGCACCTGCTATTCATGCCCGATGACCTAAATTTGATCCTAAAACCTGAGAAATGGTAGAAGCAGCGACTTAACCTCACGAAGGTGTCCTCTGACCTTTGTATGCATGCACTAGCACATGCACCCACTCCCACACACATAATAAAAGAGAAAACCTAAGAGCTTTATTTGAAAAAAAAGGGGAATAGAAAACAAATTAAACAATCTTTCAAAACTAACTTCAAATAATTGAATAAAGAAAACTAGGACACAGGTTCAATCGCCAGCATCCACAGGAAAGCTCACAGTTGTCTGTTAACACCAGTTCCAGGGGATCCTATATCTTCTTCTGAGCTCCATGGTCACTAGACATACATAGTACACAGACATATATGCAGGCAAAGCACCCATACACGTAAAAATAAATAAATAGATAAGTAAGTAAATAAATAAACTTTAAGGTTTTTGTTTTAAAGGCCAGGAGGTGGTAGTGATGCACACCTTTAATCCCAGCACTCAGGAGGCAAAGGCAGATGGATCTCTGTGAGCTCAAGGCTAGCCTGGTCTATAAAACAATTTCTGGGACAGCTAGGGCTGTAACACAGAGAAATCCTGTCTCAACAAACCAAAAATCAGGGCTAGAAAGATGGCTCAGTAGTTAAGAACACAGACTGCTCTTCCAGAGGACCTGGTTTCAATTCCCAGCACCCACATGGCAGTTCACAACTGTCTGTAATTCCAAGATCTGGAATACATGCAAGCAAAATACCAATGCACATAAAATGAAAAATAAATTTAAAAAAACCCTGAAGAATCTGTAGAGGATGACCAATATATGGAGTAAGGAGATGGGATTACCCACGACCATACTCAATTTGAACTTAGCATCAGAAAAATACCAGAAGGATCATGTGTGTGTGTGTGTGTGTGTGTGTGTGTGTGTGTGTGTGTGTGCACGCATGCAGTAAATATATTTCCAGTCATCTTGACAACACATCATTGATCAGGGTCTACCTTAGAGACTAGGGTACCTCAAGAATAGAATGCTTGCCGAGCACTGGTGGCACACGCCTTTAATCCCAGCACTCTGGGAGGCAGAGGCAGGCGGATCTCTGTGAGTTCGAGACCAGCCTGGTCTACAAGAGCTAGTTCCAGGACAGGCTCCAAAACCACAGAGAAACCCTGTCTCGAAAAACCACAATAAATAAATAAAGAATAGAATGCTTGCCTAGAATGTAAATGGCTCCACATCTGATCTCCTGTACAGTAAGGAAAAAGAAGGGTACTTGTTGACAGAGGCTGCTGTCCTGCCCAGTCCAGAAGCTGTTCAGTCCCAAAGAAATACACAGAGGCCTACATTAATTATCAACTGGTTAGCCTATTAGCTCAGGCTTCTTATTAACTAATTTTTAAATTTACAGTAACCCATAATTCTTGTCTGTGTTAGCCACGTTGCTTGGTACTTTTTATCAGCAAGGCATTCTCATCTTGCTTCCTCTGTGTCTGGGTGATGACTACAGACTGAGCCTTTCCTCTTCCCAGAATTCTCCTGTTCTGGCTGCCCCACTTATACTTCTTGCCTGGCTACTGGTCAATCAGCATTTTATTAAACCAGTACAAGTGAAAAAACTTTACAGAGTACAAGACCATTGTCCCACAGCAGGTACTTAACAAATTTTCATGAGCATTTGTAAAAGAACCAGAGAGCAGGAACACATCAACTTGGTAGAGTGTTTACTTGGCATGCAGAAGATCCTGGGTTCAATAATCAGCACCACTTAAACACAGTAATTACTGCACATCTGTAACCCCAGTACTTGAGAATAGAGGCAGGAAGGTCAGGAAGTGTCTAAGGCCAGCCTGAGCTACATGAAACCCTAACCTGAAGCAAAGGATGGAAAAGGCAAGGGGAAAGGAAAGTGGGAAAGGGAAGAAGGGAATAAAAGGAAGGGGAGGAAGAGAGGAGCCGAAGAAAATGAAAAGAAGGGGAGGGAGGAGATGAGGAGTACTGGGTTAAAAGAATGTGCCACCACACCTAGTTGCAAGCATAGTTTTGTTATAGAACTCTGGCAAAATTATTTTTTAAAAGACTTTCAAGCTCAAGATGTTACTTAGGAATTTAAGATATAGCCTAGCATGCATGAAGCCTGGGTTCAAACTCAAGTACCAACCTAATGACCTGGCACTCAGGAGGTAAAAATAGGAAAATCAGAACTTCAGGGTCACCCTCAGTTATGTTTCTAGTTCAAGGCCAGTCTGGGACACACAGGAATCTATCTCAACCAAAAATTTTCAATTACAAAATACAAAAGATACTGCTTTTGACTAGTGACTCTCAAAATGTGCTACCTAAACCACTAATAACAACATCCCCAAGTAACTTGTTAAAAGTGCAAATTATGGGATCCTAGAGTCCTAGTAAATCACAAACTCTGAAGCTGAATCACCTTGGAAGCTTGTTAAAACACCAACCATCCGACCCCCAGACCCACATCCCAGTTTCTGACTCAGCAAATGTGAGATGTGACCCATATATGTGCACTCCTAAGAAGTTTCCCAGGTAAGCCTGATGCTACTGCAGCTGTTCTAGAATGACACCAAGGAAACCATCTTTCTACTGCTTCTAGGCTAACAGCTAAAATCTAAACACCTCGCCTGACCCTCCTAAAACAGATCCCACCAGAGATATTAAACACTCATCTTTAACAACTGATAACACAATGACTCTACATGTTTTTCTCACCTTCAATTCAATCAACCTAAAGAACCACATGAATTTTGCTCCCATTGTATGCCCAGTTCCTAAATACAATGTATTCCACAAAGCAAGTACTCAACAGTGAAATGTCAGTTTCTACAAAGCATAGCCAGGGACTACAGTGTTAAGAGCAGCCAAAACAACTAAATACCACCAATGTCAGAAAACAAACAAATCTTAATGATGCATTTTCCAATTGTTCCCCAACTATACTGAGAACCCTAGTTCCAAAAAGTATTATTTTTATTACACACACACACACACACACACACACACACACGGTTTATTCAATCACACACACACACACACAAAAACAGTGTACTATCAGAAACTTAACATTTAAGACAGTTTTGGCAGGGGAGTTGGGAAAGAGACTGGTGAACTTACCCTCTTTAGCCAAATATAGCTCCTTAAATTTTGCTCTCTTTTGATTAAATTCTTGCTCAAGCTGCTGCTGTGCACGTAAAAATTCTGCATTAATTTTTTCCAATTCTGCTACCCGTTGCTGAAGAGAAACTGGAAAAAGAAATACTAGTTAACAATAATAAATTTGTTTACATATAAGTTTCAAGAACAAACTAGTCACTCAGTTAAATACTGTTAGATACATATGGAACTAGTAGGGAAGCTGAAATCCATTATATTCCAGGAAACTAATTTTTTTAAGAAGCCAGACACTTCTATTAGACTGTGATACACATACTGTGAATGAGTCATATAAAATGAAACAGAATCACAGAGAACAAAGCCACTTTCAGTACAGGAGCTCCCAATGCTCTTTACAACGCTGACAGAATGTTAATCCATGGTTGGAATAGTTAAATATTGACTTAGTTAAACTACTTATCCCAAAGCTAACCCACTGTCAATGTTGCTACTTCCTGTTTCTTTGTGATGAGCAAAATTTAATGTGTTTCCTGGCTAGGAAAGCCACAACTGGAACTATTCTTCCAGTTCCAGAAGACCCATTACATTACATGGAAACTGTTACCATATGGAAAGGACAAAACCTGTGGTTCTGCGTCACAACCCCAATACTGGCAGATCATCTATTTTCAGATAAGTGTTGGCTACAGTCTGGCAAAGTGTAGACAAATTCCTTACAAAGGGGCTCAAGATTTGGGTCTCAACTGTCTATTCTGGTCAAGGTCAGGGCTGTTTTGGTCAAAACACAAAGCCTTGACTCAGCCTTAAAGCTATCAATATAATCCCTTCAGGAGATATTTATCAGCATTAGCCAACTCCTATCCAGTTACATTAGCCAGTCTACCGCACACCACCACAAACCCTGGTGATCTGCCTATCTCTGAGCCACTCCTTACCCTCAAGCCACTGATCAATTCAAAACCAATTTTATAATACAGATAGAAAACGCTAAAAAAAGTATACCAATGGTTAGAACTATAGCTCATTTCCTTCATATTCTTTTCAAAGTTCTCTGAAATAAGGATATAGTTCTCTAGCAAATTCTAAACTAAACCTTGTATTAGTTTAGTCCCACACCCCTAGGCTAGCGTCACTATTGATAGTATTAGTACAAATGGAAGAGAAAAAGACGCTTTGAGCTCCCTGTTACTAAAGGTTCACCACAGTTAGACAATGACACCCAACCATCTGAGAACTTTCTTTTCTTTCTTTCTTTTTTTTTTTTTTTTTTGAGAAAAAGGAGGTGGTAGAATATATCAAAAGGCAGCCATGTAGAATACATGAAGGGTAACTTTGGAAAGAAGTAATCATCTAAAATCATAAGGAAATTTAGTCCCTGAGTTCCTTATTTCTGCTAGTACTTATTGCTAATCCCAATGGTTAAATTAATAGCTCTCCCACATAACACTAAAATTACTGACACTCTGACTACTACAAAGATAAACAAGGCCTCTGGAAATGAAGGAAACATAGCATACCCGTACTTCAAAATACATTCTTAAAAATACTATGTAATGCAGCAATTTAAAATACATGAAAAGAGAAAGAAGACCCTTCACTCACACTTTTTCCTACATCCTATCCCACCCATAGCTTCACCAAACCACCAACATACACAAAGGTTCATGCTATTCACCGTTATAGTTATAAATAAAACTAATGAATCAACAAAATAAAAAAAAAACCTTAAAATTACAGCCAAAGCGTGGCATGGTGGTTTGTACCTATAAGTCCAGCACCTGAGAGTCTGAAGAAGGAGTTTGAAGCTAGCCTGGACTACAGAGTGAGACTCTTACATAAATTACTTTTAAAATATGTTTTTCAGCAAAACCTTGTACTTCCACTAGTCCCTACCTCACCCTGGCTCTGACCCATACAGTTCAAATCCAAGTCCACACCCACAAATCTGACTGGCTCTCTCCACTCTTTAAGAAAGATTGCAACTCCAGGATCCTTGAGGGTGTACCAATAACTCCCTTATTTTCATCCTGTTCTTGTATAACTTTCAAAAGAATCTATCTCAAGTACTCCAAGCATATTGTATTTTTACAAAACAGAAAAGCCAAAATAACTGCTTTTCACAAGCATGCTTTTACCGTCACACCTAGGAAAGTCAACTTACCCCAAATAGACAAAAGTTTACAAATAAGTGTATCATAATGTATTAGCAGACAACAATGAAATCAAATGTTCACCAAATGGAAGTGCTATATTATTTTTCCAACATGGTGACTAAATAGTTCACTGTGATTAGAATACTGTTCAAAAAGTAATTAACATGGAACATAGGGGAAAATGACAAATGTTAGCTGTCATTTTAAAACTAAAAGTATTTAATGGGTAAAGAAATACAGAGATGGCCAGGCAGGGGTAGTACATGCCTTTGATCTCAGCACTCAGGAGGCAGGCAAATCTCTGAGTTCAAGGCCAGCCTGGTCTACACAGTAAGTTCCAGGACATCCAGGAATACACAGAGAAAGAAATCCTGTCTCAAACCCCATACAACCCCAAAAAGAAAAAAAAAAATACAGAGATCAAGTTACTCTGTAGCCACAAAAGACTAAAAGTTACTCCTGACCTGACGATGCTTACTGACATCCAGGTCAACACTCTCCCTGCTATACACAAACTAGAGTCATCACCACCTTCCAACAATACTGGATCTTTCGGGAGTTAGCCACATAGAGTTTCAGTTCATCAGCTTTCACAAACACAGCCCAAACATTATTACCTTCATTTGAGTACTAACGGGGAAATCGTCTGATGCCAAGGCCACCTCATTCGTTTGCTTACTCGCTTGCTAATTTATTTATTTATTTATTTATCAATCAATCAAGCACAGGAAGAGGGGAAGGACAGGGTCTCATTACAGCCAGCCCAGGACAATCTAGATTTGTTATGTTACCAAGGCTGACCTGGAATTCACTAATCCAGCTGCCACATACTTGGATTAAAGGTTTGCCATGCCACCATGACAAGCCTCTGTGGCTCCATTCATTCATTCATTCATTCATTCATTTTAGTTTTTCAAGAGAGCAGCTACTTTTAATGCTTGCCATCCAAAGAGAAAAATGACTGCCGTTTACTCAAAATGTCTGAATTAAGAAATAATAATACAGAAAGAAAGGGAGGAAAATAAAATCATAAATAAGGAAAAGATCCAATAATTTTCACATATTTGATCTTTCCTAGTTTTCCTGTTGTTTACTGAGACAGTCTCAACTCTTAGCCCTCTTTCTTTTTCTCCCAAGCGTTGGAATTGCAAGAGTGGACCATCATCACCTTGTCTAACTTAATTTTCCCTAATTTTGATATGAAGGAATGAGCAATAACTTAAAACTCCAAGTTGTGCCCTACTATATACATCTAAAAAAGAAAATATTAAGTTCAATGAAAAATGAGAAAGAGGGAAAAAGCAATCTGGATCAAATTTTACTGTAACTGGAAGCATTTGTCTGAAGATTTTCCTCAATGCAGGAAGGAACGGGGAGGGAGAATCTGAACACTCCCTGAAACCACAAGTCTTGACTTGTACTGTCGTCGGATCTTTAAATGAAAGTACTACAGGGTGTGCGCTCACAATTCAGCTATTCACAAGTCTAGGACAAGCGGACCACTTCAGAGAAGGAGTTCAAGTCCAAGTGAGCGACAAGGCAAGACCTTGTAAGAAAGAAGAGAGGAAAGGAAAGAAGGGAAGGAGGGTGAGGGGGGAGAAAAAGCATAAACTGAAATTATTAGGTATGGTAGGTATATCCATTTAATGGGATACCAAAGTCATAAAATGTATATAGTAAATAAAATGAATAAAATACAAAATTATATATGGTACAATATGAACCATATAAAACAGACTGGAAGAAATATGCCAGGTCATGGCAGTGGACAAAGTAGCCAGGCCACACATTTGCCACGCATAACTAGGAAAAGAAGCTCCTGCCAAAATCAGCCTAGATCGTGGCATGCAGCCATCAGGAGTTGGCAGAGCAGAAATTCTCTAGGCAACTTGGAAGGGTAATGCATATGGCCAAGGACATCCTGAGGGAAACAAGGCTGCATTCTGATGAGCTGAACTAGGTACCAGAGTTGAAATGTAAGATACCCAGCAGACCACAGAGCTCAAGGAAGAATGTACAAACAGCAATAAAAAGAACGTCAAATACATCACAAAAAAACACAGAAGTAAAGTCAACACTTGGGGTTAAAGAGATGGCTCAGGGATTAAGATTATTACATGCTCTGAGAGAGTCAGTTCCCAGCATCCCCATGGAGATTCAAAACCCTCTGTAATGTAACTCCAGACCCAGGGGATCTTATGTTCTCTTCTGATCTCCTTGGGTCAGGTACATACAGGGTGCACATACACACTTGCAAGCAAAAAATTCAAACACATAAAATAAGTAAATCTAAAAAAAAAAAAAAAAAGCCAGTTGGTGGTGGTGGTGCACACCTTTAATCACTTGGGAGGCAGAGGCAGTGAGTTCAAGTGAGTTCTCTGTGAGTTCAAGGTCAGCTTGGTCAACAAAGCAAGTTCCAGGACAGCTACATAGATAAACCCTGTCTGGAAAAAAAAAAAATTAAAACAAATAAGCAACATAAAAATAAATAAAAAATAAACCTCCTATGTTGGGTTAAAGGTATAGCTCCGTTAGCAGAGTGCATGCCTAACATGCATACATCCTTGGATGTTACCAGAACCCAAGATACTGAGCATGGTGGCAGAAGCCTGTAATCCCAGTGCTTGGGAAGTGAACGCAGAAGTACAAATTCAAGGCTAGCCTTGTCTATGCAGCAAGTTTAAGACCAGCATGAATTATAAGAGACTATGTCAAAAAAGAAAAACAATTAAGAAAAAAACGTGTGTTAGCTAGTCACGGTTAAGTCTACCACTAAGGCTAAGGAAAGCTCAAAAGTCCATGCCACCCTGAGCTATATTTTGGGACCCTGTCTCAAACAAACAAAATCTTGAAAGGGGGGAAGATGGTTCATAGGTAAAAGTACTTGGTACACAAGCATGAGGACCTGAGCTCAAATCTCTGGCACCTGCATAAAAGAACCAAAAATTTTAACATTTGAAGACAAATAAAACAACA